TCATGTGACTTTAGTCCACACACACACACACACACACGCACACCACACTGCTGCAGCTCTATCATACATGGATCCTTAAAATGTGTTTTACATTATTGCCACAAATTGTTCAGATGAAACTTAAAAACAGATGTTCAACAGCCAGTGGTTTCACTTCACTTCACTTTACTTTTGAAAGTCAGCTTAACACTCTTAAGACAGTTCATCATAATGATGAAATAATAATGTGCATGTGAATGTGTAGGTATTAAACCAACTTAAAGAGCTTCTGGTTTCCACTGCACCTTCTAATTCTGATTTGAAAAACTTTAAAACCCGGAGTCAGATCTGAAATTGATGTGTCCTCCATTTCAGAGTTGCCCTCACCTCTGTATGAGTTGTCCCAGCTGCTGCCACAGTGTTCACCACCACACTTCATTTTTCCTCATTGCCAAAAAGTGGTTGTGCTCATAACTGGTAACACCTTGGAGACACGAAAAGAGCAGTAAATCCAATCAGAGCGCAGGGGCCGCTTGGAGGCAGGAAGTCCAGGGCGGAGAAGGGAGGTATAAATATATGCACTGAGTGTAGACGCAGTGAAAATGTCAGGTTGGCCCTGCAGTGATGACAGCACAAACTTTCAGCTCCCTGCATCTGTTGGCTTCGATTACTGTCGACTTGACTGATGATATTTAAAATGATTTATTTTTCCTCTAAGAGTCTGTTTTATTTAGTTATTTATTAGTTGATTAGTTCTTTTAGTTAACTATTTGCTCTCTAGATAGTTCCAGTTTTTCATCATTGATGTTATTGATGATGTTGAATTAACGGTTAATTCATCTTTTCTTTTCTCCTGCCACAGAGACGTCTCAGTACCTCACATCTCACCTCTCAGTTGTGTAGTTTGTGCACCGTCACATTAACATAACAGTCTGTGGTGTGAGCAGGACAGCAGCTTGCATGTGGCTTCAGTCACATGACAAACACGTATCATCAGTGACGTCCTCTGTTCTTTTTGATTTTATTTTTGTACTATTGTCTTTTCTAATGTCTTCTCTTTGTCGTTGTGTTGTGTGTGTTTACTCACTCCAGTATCAGCAGCACCCTGATGGACATGGAGAGCACGGCTGCTCCAGCGGGTCCGCTCCGACCCCGAGCCATGCTCAACGGTCACAGCGGGGGCGCGGTGTCTGGGGGAGGCTCGGCGCCGGCGGGGGGAAGTCTCTGAGCTATACGTGCTGCTGGGATCACTGCCAGCTGCTGTTTCCCCAGCAGCCCCGACCTGGCCGAGCACATCAGAGCCACACCATGTGGACGGACAGAGAGGAAGGGGTCAGTTTCCGACTGTTGGGTTTACTGTGTGGTGTGCTGTTCCCAAGGGTGCCTTAACGGAATTAGCTTTATTTAGAATGTAAACTCAGGTGGCATCAAATAACCGCAGATGCAGGGTGTAAGAAAGCAGCAGTTAGATCTGAATCCAACAACAACGAGTCCAGTAGGAGTAAATGGACAGTGAACATCTGACTGGTAAACCCAGTTAGACTGCAGGTCAGAGGTGGGAGCTCAGTGGTGAAACTAGGTTCGTTCTTCCACTATATCTTACATGTGTTCCATTTTAAAAAAAAAAAAACCTTAAAAGTTTCATGGAGAAAGAAATCTACATATTGACCCCTAATAATAAGACGTAACAGGAAGTTCATGCTTCCATTAAAGCATCATGTAAATCACACGTTTGTGTAGCTCATCTATCAGGCCCTGTTCAGGACCATTTAGTTAACGTGTTCTCAGCCGATCCAGTCACAAGTGGACAAGTCGGTTCACACCTCCCCATGTCTCTAGTGACCTCTACTGATCCGATATCACTTCCCTGCTCTAGATTCAAATAAACATGTATGTGTTGTTGCTTTTAGTCAGTTTGTTAGAGAGAAGAGAGGACAGGGGGACAGGGCAAGGAATTCAATGCACAGCTCTACAGTTAAATAAGTTTTTAGCCATTTTGAAATAGTTCATGAAACTGTGCAGGACTAATTAAACTGTGGGAGACGATGTCGGGCCTCTTGTGACTGGATCACCTGAGACGCATGTTAATACCAGGTCTGGCGGCTGTTCTCCATTGTTCTTCTTTTAAGGATTTCAGTAGTTGAAATTGTTGGTATGTTGTATCTTGTAATATGACATCAACATCTGCCTCCTCCCCTGAAAGATACTCTAGACTTGTATTTAATTATCCCGCCCTGATCAGGGTCCCAGGAATTTATTCCCAGGCTCAAAGGAGTAACTCCAGAGACCAAAGGCCACTTGTCTGAAACAATATACATCAAGGTTTTTTTCAAAGTTATATAATCCCTCACCAAGGAGGTTCTCATCTTTAACACTGTGTGTCCCAGCTTTGTCAGCAGATTACACAAAAAGTACAGAACGCATTTTGTACATAAACTTATGCAGGGAGGCGTCATGGGTCAGGTCACTGATTGGTCTTAAAGGGGCAATCCCAGGAATGCTTTTTTTTAACACTTATCTATCAATTGTATTTTTCTAGCTTTATTTTTTTTTCCTACCAGAGGTGAGCCAAGAACCGCCCCTACCTGCCTTGGATTGTTAGGTTTAGGCATGGTAATTGGTTCGGGGAAAAAATATCCAAGCTAAGCCAAT